CCATAGACATTGATCCAGGACCGGGAAAAGGGGCGTAGAGTTAGAAGTGGAACAGGGAAAGGAGGCCTCGGTCGGTGTAGAGAATACGGAAGCAAAATATTCAGCTAACAATTCGGCTTTATTCTGGTCCGTGTATGCTATCCTACCCTCCCCGTATTTGAGGGCAGAGACATGATTCTGAGTTTTGAGTTTGGCCGACAGCATCTTATAAAAAGCACTCTTATTACCAGATAGAATTACCTTTTTTTCAACACATGAGTTATACTTGTTAAGCATTTTAGCAAAGCGGTTTCTCATACGTACATAAGTATCCATGTCTTCTTGTTTATTTGTTTTGACGGCTTTGGTCCAAGCCTTGGAGCAAGATTTTGATAACCGCAAAAGATGAGGGGGATAGAATAACCCAGGTTGCTGTACTTCGACCACTGGGACAAAATTGTTAATCGTGTGCCTAAGCACGAAAATAAAAAGTTCATACATTTGATTGACATCGGAGCAGCAGTTGAACGAGCCAAACCAATCGACATCCGATAGGTAACTACAGATTTTGTTGTAATCTGCCTTGGTGTATTTTCTTTTGAAGACGGGCTTATGCTCACATCTAGGGTTATCGATGCTGAAACTTATCATCGCATGGTCGCTAGAACCAATGGGAGAATTTATGGCCACTTCACTGATAAGACCGACCTTATTGCAAAACAATAAATCCAGAGTATGACTTCCACGGGTGGGAGTGGGTACAAATTGCATCAAATTGTAACTTTTGCAAAGTTGTAAAATAGTTCCATTGAGACTAGCAACATTGTTAATTTCATCATTGGTCCATTCGATGTTAGGGAGATTGAAATCCCCCATAACAATGAACGGGTAAGAACAAATTGAAAGATCAGTTATAGCTTTGAAGAGCTGCAGAGTTTTAATTTGATTGCATGACGGGGCCCTATATAACACAACAATCCTGCATAATTCAGGAAAAGTGAAATCGCAACACAGTATCTCATAGGAGTCCTTGATAGCTTCTTTGATAACGATGTGGTAAGATAAGGTTTTCCTGACCAGAAATGCTACGCCACCCCCGGCTTTTCGTGGCCTATCACAACGTACCAAAGTGTACTCGTGTCCCAAAATGCCAAGATATGTGGAACTATCATGAACAGGCTTGAGCCATGTTTCGGTTAGTGCTGCGAGGTCATAGCAAAAGTTCGATAGAAGAAAAACGAGAGAGGAAGAGTTCTTGGGGAGTGACCTAATGTTGCTTAGGAAACATTTGAAACTAATCGCCCAACTCCGCGGAGTTACTATGCGTTTAAAGCGCGGGTATTACAACCAGACAAATCACACTCCGACATCATAGACCTATCTAAAACAGAAGTGGGGGAAGAAGCTAAATTAGCACATGCAATTGGGGCGTTAACAGATTTACCGGGCTTGTTGGAGTTCTCCCTAGCCTGTTGTTTGAGAGCCCGAAGCTTTTCCCTCTCTGCTTTGGGCAGAGAGGGCCGTATATATGTACCCTTAAACTGTGAATATTTGAGTTTATGGGCACGGCGAAGGGCTTCGTCTCTAAACTTTGTGCTAGGAAGGACTACTTTCAAGAGCCGAGGTCGATGAGGAGATGGTCTACCCATTCTGTAGACCGACAAAGGAATACATTCAATTTGGAGGTAGTTAAAAAGCACTCTAATACAATTCCAGTCATGAGAAAGTCGATTCGAAACCAAAAAATCAGAAGACTCAGGAACACCGATAATCACTAGAGATCGAGCAAATTCTTTAGATTCACAACAAGAACTATCAGAGGAATGATTAACAGCCTCAGAAACCTGTGTAGGATTTGTGAGATCAATATGAGGAGGAGGTTTGGAGGCCACAGATAATGAACGACGCAAAGTAGAGTTCTCATCACGCAATTTTTGAATTTCAGCCGATAGCTCTTTGTTTTCGGTAGCTAGAAGTTCAATCTTTTCTTTAGCATCAAGGAGGTAATCCACAATCGTTTTTAAATACGGTGGCATCGATTCATCTGACATCAGTTGCTCAACCGCCGACAAAAGCACTTTTTCTTGTTCGGTACTCTGGGGCGAACCCATATCGACCAGACCTCGTTTACGGCCCTTAAATTTAGATACGACAGAAAGGAGGGCACTCATAATAGAATATGGATAGAAGGCACCTAATGAAGTGGCAGTGAGAAAAAGAAATTCTTCGCTTTCTGCCACAGGAAAGCTCACAAAATTGAAAAGTTTGACTGAGGCGATCGAAGGTCAAAGGCAGACTCGATAACTATTGATTGATAACTGACAACAGGAAAACATCACCTCGAGTGGTGGCAATTAAAATTCAAGTCAAATTCCCCTGCCACTAGGGTGCAGCGCAGT